CCTCGGGAGGCGTTGAACTCTCCCCAACACTCGATGTACTAAGGACTTCCTTGACTGGAGCGATGATTGGATTAGCTTTTGCGTCTTCTAGTAGCCTCGTGTACTCCCTTACTTCCCAATCTTCATCATGGATACTTCCTATCAACACCGTTTCAAGAGCATCTTCCTTTTTGATCAGGGGAAGTTGTTCTTGTTGTAGATCATCGAGGACATCCACTTGACAAATAGTCTCACCCATAGACGGATTTCCCATAGCATTCAGTAATGAATACTCCATTTTCTCATCCCCTACTTCAAATGTTATTTTCCCATTCTTCATGTCAATAATTGCACCTGCAGTAGCTAAGAATGGTCTACCAAGAATAATAGGGACATGGGCATCTTCTTCCATTTCCATAACAACAAAATCACATGGAATAAAGAATTTACCAACTCGCAATGGAACATCTTCAAGTATACCGAGGGGAAATTTAACTGACCTGTCTGCAAGTTGCAGAGATATCCTTGTAGGCTTTAGCTCACCCATTTGAAGCTTTTCGCAGATGGAGAGCGGCATAAGGCTTACACTTGCACCAAGATCGCATAGCGCTCTATTGATCTCTATATCTCCCAGCTTCACTGGGATTGAATAGCTGCCTGGATCACCTAGTTTCTTAGGAAGAGTGTTTTGCAGAATGGCACTACATTCTGCAGTTAGAGAAACAGTAGCATTCTCTGCAAGCTTTTTCTTGTTAGATAGCATGTCTTTCAAAAACTTTGCATAAGAAGGCATTTCAGAAATTGCATCCAAGAACGGTATATTAATGTGAAGTTTCTTAAGGATGTCTAGAAATTTACCGTACTTTTTCTCTAACTTAGCCTGGGCTAACCTCTGTGGAAAAGGGACGCTTGGAATGTATTCCCGTGGCTTTTCTTGAACATCATTCCTTGGAATTGGGCTGTCTGGATCTCGCGCCCGGTCGGGCAGTGATTGCCCGGTCTGACCGGGCGAAGAAGAGCTGCTTATGTTCTTTTGTTTGTCTGGAATTTCTTCGTGCGCCCGATCGGGCGGACTTTGCCCGGTCTGACCGGGCGAAGAAGAAATTCGCACATTCCCCTGTTTTTCGTCGACTGCTTCTCGCGCCCGATCGGGCGGACCTTGCCCGGTCTGACCGGGCGAAGAAGAACTTTGCCGATTTCCCTGTTTTTTCACTCATTCCCTCAATATCTATCGTTGATGGTTCCCTTACGGGAAGGCCTTCCAACTGTTTTCCACTCCTTAAAATTACAGCATTCATGTGCCCCTTTTGTGGTTGCTCTGTTTGGCCAGGAAACGTACCCGGTGTTTTTGAAGATTGGCCGACTTGATGAGCAAGTTGGCTTATTTGATTTTCCATGAGCTTATTCTGGGCTTGTAACTGTTGGATGGAATTATTTGTGGTGTTGATGAAGTTCTCCATCATTAGTTCGAGATTGGATTTTTGAGGGGGTGGTTGCATGGGTTGCATGGGTTGTTGTACTAGGGGTGGTCTTGGTTGGAAACCAGGTGGATTATAATTGTTGTTTCGAGGTGGGGGCGGAGGTGGATTTTGCTGAGCTTGGGTGTTTTTGTATGAGAAGTTTGGGTGATTCTTCCAACCTTCATTATAAGTATTAGAATGGGGATCGTATGGTCTTTTAGGGTTGGAATTGTAGAAGGCATTGGCTTCCTCAATTGATACCTCATTCGAATTTCGTGGGCAATTAGGTGCGATGTGACCTTGAGTATTACACATTTGACAAGTTTCTAGCACATTATTGGAAGATCCAGTTTGTAGTCTATCGAACTTGCTTGAAAGTGCCTGCACAGAACTAGTTAAAAGAGTTAGAGCATCAACATCTAATTTACCTCCTTTCTTGACATTATTTCGGCCGCCTGGGTGATAGTTGTCATTGGCTGACATCTTCTCAACCAGCTCCTTTGCTTCGGTTGGATTTTTAGTTAGAAGGGAGCCTCCAGATGCGGCGTCGATATAGATCCGGAACTCATGGGTTAGACCATTATAGAATGTTTGGATTAACATCCATTCAGGTATGCCATGATGGGGGCACTGTCTCTGTAACCTCTTGAATCTCCTCCATGCGTCATATAAGGATTCTTCATCTGATTGCCTGAAAGTGGATAGCTCGTTCCTTAATCTTGCAGTCTTTTCTTGTCCCAAGAACTTGACCAGAAAAGCTTTTACTAGTTTATCCCATGTATCAAAGGAACCAGAACCCTCATCTCTTAACCATTCCTTCGCCCTATCCCGTAATGAGAATGGAAAAAGGCGAAGTCTAAGAGCATCATCTGTAACACCATTCAGCTTCATAGTGTCACACTTTTCCAAGAAACCATCTATATGATTCACTGGGCAATCAAGAGGTGTGCCAGCAAATGAATCATTGGATATGAATTGAATAAATTGCGGTTTCAATTCAAAATTCTGAGCGGTGATAGGTGGTCTAATAATGCTAGAAAGGAGTCCGGTTGTTGTGTCAGGGATACCGTACTCCAAAAGAGACTTTGTTGCTTGGTCTTCCATATTTCTGTTACCTGCTCTTCTTCTACCTCTTCGTCTTCTTGCAGTCGCTTCAATTTCTGAATCGAGAGGCACTAAGTCGTCTGACCCTGAGTGACGTGTTTGCATACAACAAAGAACTAGGCAAAGAACATCAAAAACACAGGAGACAATAGCCGAAGCAACAAACAACGCTTAGTATAAACGAATCACGAAAAATCAATATGAAACCGTTAGTCCCCGGCAACGGCGCCAAAGTTTGATAGGCTTATCGCGTACCTAACAAAAATAACCTAACTATTCCTTCTAACTGTGTAGTAGGGCAAGTAAGGATCGAATCCCAAGAGACTATGGTTCATTCAATTAATCAGACTCAATTAATCACTAAGCACGTGACCAATCAATAATGGATGATAATAATCAACTAATTTATTAAATAACACAATTAACTAGAGGAAATATTAATCAATAAACTAAAGCATCCAAGATCAAGCATCACCACGATTATGATTGATAAACTAATAAATCTACCCCCAATATATAAATCAATTGACAAGAAGAAAAGCAATCCCTAATAATAATACCAAAGGTCTCTTCCGAGTTATCAATGGCTTCCCAAATTAACTATCAAGCCTACTTCCGTGGAATCAAGCGAATAAGGGACATTAAACACCATGCCTAGATTCCTAATTATTCAATCATCTACTTCCGTGATGATCTTCAAACCCTTAATTGAAATAACCTAATCCCGTTAATACCCAACTTCCGTTGCAATAAGAACAAAGGGATGATAACAATACTAATTATCCCTAATCTAGTATTGGCATAAACACAATCAATTAAGCATGTCAATTGGGATTATTATTGGGGAATTTAAAGATCTACTTTATACATCAATCATAATCGGGCTTAGCAAGATCCCGGATTAAGGAAACTACTCACAAATCATAATTAAATCAAAAACAAGATCTAATAGAGAACACATAATTAAAGAACTATAAAATAAATAAAAGAGATGGAAAGTAAGAAATACCAAATACTTCAATTGATGATCTTGAATTCTTGAGGAACAATTAATAAAACTAGGATTAAAGATTGAAATTGCTTAAGAAAATAAAACTAGGGTTCTTGAGAGTTTTCTAGGGCTTAAGGAGAAAACTAATGAAAAACTAACTGTCTAAAAGTTAATTACAAAAGGGTATTTATACCCCCAAAAGATAATATTTCGGAAAAATAAGAAAATACGCGTTCTTGAGCTTTGCCCGGTCTGACCGGGCGGACCTCGCCCGATCGGGCGGAGGAAGGCTGCGTAAAATACGACAGTTTTCCTTCTTTGCCCGGTCTGACCGGGCGAACCTCGCCCGGTCGGGCGCGCGTAACACGTTTCCAAAATTGCATCTCATAACTTGATTTCTTCATCGCCCGGTCTGACCGGGCGAATCCTGCCCGATCGGGCGCGCGTTGCACCGTTCAGAATTGGGCTTCTTCCTGTGAACTCCTCATTGCCCGGTCTGCCCGGGCAAGCCATGCCCGGTCGGGCATTCCACATAAATTGCAGTTCTTGGCTATCAACTCTTCCGAATCTACTAAAAACACGTCCAATTGCCTAGAAACGCTTCATATTCCTGAAAAGCTTACTAAAACAATCGAATACACTAAAGAAGAGATTGTTAGCAAGAAATAGCTCCGTAGAGCTCAAAACCATGTAAAATCATGCAATCAAACCGGGGAAAACCATTGTATAAAACACGTATATCACTTGGACACTAACAACCCTCAGTTACATCTCTTTGAACCTGCACTCACCCCAGAACTGCTCCTAGACATCTCTTATTTCTATAAAATCAAATTGCAAAATTTTTTTTAGGCCACTAAATTTTTTCCACAATTTTTTGAATGCAGATTATGTGATTCTGTTGCTGTTCAAGATGAAATATGGAGCCAAATATATATAGCCTCTGATTATTTTTTTTTTTTTAATATGACGGCTAGTTGCAACAGCCATTGTTGGAACAAATTGAAAGTTCAGTACCTTCCCATTAATTGTGTCAGAATTTAAATTTCCTTTTTTTTTTTTTAATTTTATTTTGTTGTTAACCGGTTGTTGTAGGTGGGAAACTTTAGTACTCTATCGGGAGTACCTTGCCTAATACAAATGAAAGTTCAGTACCTTCCCTGATACAAATTACAAAGTTTAGTACTCTGTAGTGTATATTACTCGTTCATACCCAAGTACAATTCACAACTATAAGAAGCTTATTTGAAACAAACAAGTTTAGACAAAAGATACTCTGGTGAAAACTGAAAAGATCAAAACCTAAACACCACAGTTTAAAAACATGGAAATTGATCTGTATGTGCAGGCAGTTAGGCCATCGTAAAGAAACAATCTTCACTTCACAATTAGTCCAAATATAGCCTAGATTCACAATTTGCCAAAACGTGCAAAGAACAGCACCAGGAAACAAACGAATGGCTAAATAGAGAAGCATAATCTTAGTAATAGCTGTTTTTCTATGTTATCTACTGTACAACATAAAAGTATAAAACACTGGTGCCCTTTAATCTATAAAACTTAGGCCTGATTGGTACATGCCTTACTATAAGGACAGAACAAGATATTTGTATATACAAAACACGGTATACGGCCTGACTAATACATCTGAGAAATTCTATTACAGCTATCAATGTTCAATGAATTGAACATTTCTTACAGATTTTGAGATTTTGTGAGAGCGCAAAAATTGAAGCCAAATGGATAAGTGGAATCACTAATTCACTACCATCATAGCCCTCTGCTACTGTACACATTAGATACAAGCAAAATTGAGAAAACTTTGAACATTTAAGAGCTGAGATTTCGAGATTCAATATCAAAATGCAGTGATTGACACACTAGTCCTCTTTCATCGTCCTTGAACAAGCCCACTGAATACTTGGCTGTTCCCAGCGAGTGTTGCTTCCCATTCCACAGAAGAAAGAAGGATTTGCGAAAGAGCTATCACGATTTGCTTCATGTCTGGTCGCAAGATGGGATCATCATCAACACATTGCTTTGCCAACATGGCCACCTGTGCAGATGCAATGAAGAAACAAAAGAGGAATATAAATTGCTTATTTTACTTTATAGAAACTCTAATAATGATTTTTTTTTGAAATTCTATCTACTCGTCAAAAGAAAAGTTAATTATGATACAGCTTTTCCATCCCATTATAACGAGCTTAGAGTTAACATTGCTTTAACCCTGATACAAATTTTCAGTGTGTTTTGGTCTAGGCTGTTGTATTGGGATACTTTATAACAGTTCTTGTCACCCAATGCAATTGGAGGATATGTAAAACGGGCTCTTAGGTTGTGTTGCAATGTTCAGTCAGAAATCATGAGCACACGTATCTCACCTTATATACACAGTCATGTGGATACAAATCCATTAGATTGGTATCAATGTAGTCCCTCAAGTTTGACATGCCCATTGAATCAGGCACATGCCTCAGTACAGCCAACATCTGCATTTTAGCACCATTTAGCAATAATCAGTTCACATGGATACTACAGGGTAAAGAGTCTTAAGACAAAGTAGATATATTCTCATCTTTTCTAGGAGTATATTAATTAGATTGTACTTACGATCGAAACAAGTGATCGCCTTTCTGGACCTTTAGGCGTGCTTTCAGTTCTTATTACAGCTTCCTTCCCAGATATTAACTCAAAAAGAACCACACCAAAAGCAAAAACATCACTTTTGGTTGTGGCAAGGCCATTGCTCAAGTACCTATATAAAATAGAGATCAATAACCAAACTATCCTTTAAATAATCAATATGCAACCTTAAGATGGGTATGTACTCACTCAGGAGCTAAGTAACCATAAGTCCCAACTACTCTTGTTGCCGAAGCTTCTATATCACCAGCTGTACCAACAAGTTTTGACAGCCCAAAGTCTGATATCTGAAATAAACAGCTGAATTATAGATTCCAGCATCAACCAATCCCACCTTCTCACCTTCCTGACTTACAAGAAAAGTAAGAAGAGAGACAAGCATAGTAATTACCTTTGCCCTAAAGGCTCCATCAAGCAAGATATTGCTTGATTTAATATCTCGATGAACATAATGAGCTTTTGTGTGCTCATGAATATACTCTAAGCCTCTAGCAGCATCAAGAGCTATCTGAACCCTCATAATCCATGAAAGAGATGTATGCCCTGCACAGCAACCATTAGGTTCTTTAGTTAACTAACCTTTATCTTAATTAGCCAGGTAGATCAAATGGTAAAGCCTCAAAATGAAGCTAGTAATTTGTAACCTAGGAAGATGTAGAAGAACATAAAGAAAGCAACTTCAAAAAAGTAAAGACAAGTAACAAACCTTTATTATGAGAATCATGTAAATGGCTCTTCAGCGAACCTTTTTGTGCATACTCGTATATAACAAAGAGCTCATCATCAGTGGCTGCATAACCAAGCAACTCCACCTTATACAGGAGAAAAACGAGTCATTCAAAAATTTCAAACTGACTCTAAAAAGGGTTTTTGTTAGTAACAAAGGAAGTTATCAGCATTGTCTTTTATAGAACTTACCAAATTTGTATGATGAACCTTACATAACAATTTCATCTCTGTCAGAAATTCTTTAGTTTTAGTTGCAGTCATTCTCTTGATTGCTACCTCCTATATGAATCATCCAAAGTAAGTCATCACAGGCTCACAGCTTGCCATGAGCAATTATTGGGAAAAAATAAATAATGCTCATAGTAAATGGAGTTAATTTTGAGAAGAAATCTTTACACTGCCAAGCATTTTACCTGGTCATGGAGAAGACCATAATATACCGAACCATAAGCTCCATGCCCAATAAGATTTGATTCAGAGAATCCTTCCGTTGAAGCAAGGATATCTTCATAGGTGAAGGTAACCGGCTTTTCCACTTCAAAAGCGTCGTTGCCTATGGCTGGATAAAATTGGAGGATACTTAAGTGAGGACATACATGTAATATCTAATGACTAGCCTAATTTTTACATAAATGAAACAAAGGTCTCAAGTACAGCAGAAAACTTGTTATGACCAGAATTAAGGCGAGGTCTACCCAAAAAAAATTCTTAGTTAAAACATTTTACTTAAAGCCCAAATAAGAGCAATACCATTCTTCTCTTTTACTTGTAGGGGTTACTGATGGTTTGCCAAATAACAATTGTAGAACAAGGATTTTACAACAGCCAAAATTACTACCAAATTCACAAGTCAGATATCTCTTTATCATTTTTCAACAAATTTCTAGAGAGCAATACCTTTAGGAATGTTTATTTGATGTTGGTTGTTTGGTTCAACAACACTTTGTTTCCAATCATCAGATCTACTGCAGAACCTTCTAGAAGCACAACAGAAACTAGTATTCCGCAGAACATGAAACTTGTGTGCACGTCTCTCACTAGGATCTTTTGCATGACCTTCTTGCTCACTCTGGGAGCAGATTGACGATTTGAACACAACAATAAAGAGTACAAGTATAACAACCACAGCTAAACCAACTCCCAGGCCTCCTAGTATCCATCCAGAAGGCATATGCTCCTTGTGACTTGTTTTGTTTTCTGTCAAAGGATTATCACACGGTCAATAGAGTTTCTATCATAAGACATGAAGCAGATGCTCTCTCACTAGGCATAGTGGTACCAGAAAGAAAATCCTTTTTCTTATAGGCTTAACTCACAAGTGAGAAGAAAATTTGGAATAACCTTAAGCAGAAACTCTAGTAACCTGACTTTATATGCTAATTAAATCAGAATTTGGTTTTTCTGTTTAGAAAAATGGTAAAGCCAAAAACACAAAGTCAACTTCAGATTTTCCAGTTGGCAAAAACAATCCCAGAAAATGGATTAGAAGTTTAGAACCTAGATCATGGTTGATTACATTATTGCACTAGTCTAACCTGACATTCTCTCAGCAGAGGTTGTCATTAAAGCTCATTACCATGCATCATCAACAATGATGTGCTTTGATTTTATGATTATTACACTGACAACAGGGTTGTAGCTACCAATTAAATCATTGATTTTCTTATTTGTCTATACATCTAAAACTTATAGTTATACCTTTGACATCAGCGACTGATGGAGCAGGCTCTGGAGCTGGAGGCTTACTCGTCTCTATTGGATATGGATCGCCAGGAACTGGAAAAATTAAAAGAAGACTTAATGAATCAGGGCATGATGCAGGGATAAGGTTCACCACAGAATCTGTTTGTAATGGAAACCATTGTGTGGATAGGAAAATACACTCCATCATCAGCAGTAATCACAAAGATTTAGGCTTTCAACAGTTTTAATCAAAATTTATACGAGTTAACAATTCCACCATAACAAAGATTCTAAATAAATAAATATATTTTTGTTTACCACATATTTTCCACACGATTACATATTCTGCTGTTTAACAGGAGATCGCTGCATCCCCTGCCCTCAAACCTCCTACAATCCTACTTTCTCAGCTTGCTGTTCTACTAATTGTGAACAGTAGGTCTCACCCAATTGAAGGAGAGCTCATTACATTAAGTTCTGAGAATCGCTCAAGTATTCCGGATCACTAATTTACCAAAATCAAGGCTTTTACCCTTATAGAAAACAAGGATGCTTCCGCATCACAACCAAGAACTACGCTGGTCAAATGATACTCATTTATTATGTAGTTGATCCAATCCTCAACCAACCCTTATTTCCTCCTTCTAAGTGAATGACAACGAAATAAATACACATGCCACGATGGTGCTTATTTTGCAGCTGACATCATATCACCAAAGATATTGTCCATATTCTAAATCCATCCTCAACTGAACAAACCACCACACACAGTCCACACATTCAGCTGCTTACCAGCTTCTAAACAAGAGTTGGTGCATTCAAAAGGTCCAAACTCATCATTTGATCAACCCGTTTGATTATCTCGAATTCATAATAAACAAAATTTCAAATCAAACCCTTAATCACCTTTCGTGAGAAACTGCAAATGATAGTTAAGGCATTCAAAAGGGTGACACAATTGACCTCAGTATTAGTGTCACAAATTGACCTCACTATCTCTATATCTACTTTTTACAATGTTCGGAGACACCTAAACTGCCACTAATTTTCCAGTACCTCCCCAAATTGCATATAATATATACCAGCTCGGCCAAATGCCAAAACTGCCAGTATCATTCCAGTAACTCCCCAAATTTACCTTTTCTTTTCTAAAATTCCCACAAATTGAAAAAAAATTGACACAAGAATCTCAAAAATAGTAAACTTCCTTCCAACTTCTCTAGTACAAAAGTTAGCATTCTAACTATTCTATCCTTTAAGCATTCAAAGATACTTCATTAACTACAAGTCTACAATAGACTTTACTCTCTATTTCTTCTCACTATTTCTTTAGGGTGATACCACCTACTCCTATGTTCCAATTCTTACTCTTCTTTATCTAAAGCACTGGCCCTCTTCTTTTATTTCCAACTCATATTCACTTTTTCCGGTGCATAGGGATCAACAAAGGACAGTAATGTAGAAGGGATACCCAAACTCATTTTTCACTTTAATCAAATCAAATTTATAGAATAATCAACTAATCTTCACTATTTTGGTTAATAAGGAGACACGAAAGGCAATAATGAATACAGGATCCAATCAAATTCCTATTAATATTATGATAAACTTAAATTTTAATATAACCATTCTAAGAAAATAAATTCATTTTTTAATGGCAATGGTATAGACGAGATTCGATCAAGCTCATATATTCACTATAAGTCTATAACACACCCAAAACATGTAATAGCAAGTCTATAATCTCAACACCACCCCTAACAACAACAACAACAACAACAACAACAACAACAGCATAAACAAAGAATCAATAATCAAATCAAACTCATACACCAAAAGTTAAAAATTAAATAAAAAGTGGACTAACCTGAATTCAAAGGAATATAATAAAGTTGTCCAACAGTAATATTATCAGGATTATCAATCCCATTAACTTGCTCAATACTATCCATACTAACCCCAAATCTACTAGACAAAGAAGAAAGAGTATCCCCATCTTTCATAACATAACTCATCAAATAATTCCACAATCCACTTGAACACCCACATAACAACCTCACTGAAACCACTTCATTAACCCTTGCCATCCTACTATTACTGTTATTCTGTATCAAAGCCAAACCCTGATATGCATCATTCACCAAATCATTCACTAATCCACTACCATTTCTCACTGTAAATGTTGTTGTTGTTAAATAATCTCTCAATCTAGGGTGACAAGAACAGTTTTTTCTGACAAAGATGAAATCTTTATCACTATTTTCAACTGTTACATCTTTTGGGAGGACATCAAACATACTTTGGATTAATGGCAGAGTCAGATTTGAGGTGGGTTTTAAAGCTAAGAATGAAGCACAGACTCTGCCAGAGTCAGAACAATTCATGGGTTGTGTTGATGATATTGATGTAGGAAGTGTAGAGAGAGAAAGTAGTGAGAGAATGAAGATGGAGATTGAATTGAAGTGTAAAGATTTCATCTTTTTTGTGAGTTTGGATTTGTGGGTTGATTGTGATTGATTTAGTGAGATGGGGTTGATGAAATTTGAGAGAAAATGAGGAATTAATTGCTTGCAATATTAAGGGGGTTTGAAGAAGAATAAGAGCATAGTAATACTGCTATTGTTTGTTGTTGTAGGTGTGTAAGGTGGTTTTGTGTTGGTGATGGTGAGTAAGAATGAGCTGTTTTGTGAATACAGGGGTCACTGCAAAAAGGGGGTCTGTCTATTTTTGGGGTTGAACATTAAATAAAACAGTACAGTTTTACACTTTTACTAGTGAGGAGTTTATTTGAAGGGGGTGACTTGGGGTTTAAGTGGAACTGTTTAAATTAATTTACGAATCTAATTAGTCGCGAGGCAAAAGCTTCTGATTTTTTATTCTTTTAATTAATTACTCCATATTTATTGCCTGTGATTGTTTTTTTTGGGTAGGAAAAAAAAAAACAAAAAATTATATGGAGTACTCATATTAAATGAATAAATGGGTAGAATCATACACAAGATAATTTGATTTGAATTACAGAGTATGGGACAGAATAAGGTTTTTTAGAGGAGGAGGTGGAAGACCGGAAGGGATTTTTGTTTGAACTGATTTGAACTTATTTTTGTACAACTTATTTTGTTTTAAGTAAGATAAATTTAGTTAAAAAGTTTTTTTTTTTTTTTTGAACAACTTTTAGTTAATAAGATGAAACAATATACACTTACTAATTTACTATTATTATAGATCATATTAAATTGAAAAACTTTACAAGAATTTAATATATGTAATAGAGATATTGTTATATGTTGGTATAATTGTATATCTAATGAGTTATGAAATATTGAGAGATTCCAATGCATGAAAAGAATAATAATGCTATGTACATGAAAAGACATAGTAATATGAATCTGTTTTGACCCGTCAAAAAAAATATATGAATCTGTTTTGATTAATCATAATTTTTAGGATCACCTATTTAATGTTTTATAATAAATCGGAGTACTACAAGTCTACAAGTAATAATTGGAATAAAATTTAGTAAGAAACTTATCATCTTAAAGCCCATGGTAATACAATCATATCCCCAATTGTTATAATAAAATTTAGTAAGAAACTTATCATCTTAAAATCTGTTTTGCAAACTCATATCCCCAACTAGTAAAGAATAAACATGAGTTTGCAAACTCATGTTTATCCTTGCTACATTGCTGAATTTTAAGAAAAAATTGAAATAATTTTGAACTATTAACATGAACATTACCATATACAGTAATATTCAATCATAGCTCATAAACCATATACTAACCTACTAATTAAGCTATTATGCTAAGCTTAGTCTAGTGGAAAAGATAGCTTCTTCCAATTTTGAGGTTAGGGATTCAATTCCCACTAGCTAGAAACACTTTGAGGGTGAGGATTCATTATTTTTCCCTCCCACTTTTAAAGTATGTGACCGTAAATACTGAACTATACAAAAAACGTTAAACAAAAAAGTCTAAGTAAAAAGGCCAAAACAACTTTGAAACTAAGAAGTACTGATATAGAAAACCAGTATACTAGAAGTAAGATGAGATAAAGATAGCTTGATTTAAGGTTTGGTAAGAAGTGAATAGAAGGTGGCGCCAAAAACCCATTAACCCACCACATGAAGTCGCCAATTATAATGGCTCCACCACACGACTTCAGTCTCTTGACATTTTTAGTTGACCAACTCGATTTTGACACTCAATATTAACCACACAATTAACTTGAAAACTTTATTAACACTCCATTGTTTTAATTTGACTGTTTCATTTCTAGACAAACTTCGATTGCTTGTTTTTTTATATCACTCTCATCCAATCAACACTACGATGAGTATTTGTGTAATCAATTGTTATAATTGCATTGATTAGGAAAATAATTTTGGTAGTCCTCATATTTAGTTGGCACCCACTGGCTATGTACATTGCAATATTGCATACATGCATGCCATGGTCTTGTTGTGTCGAAATTTTCAAAATTTATTGCAGTCTATATGTAAGGCTCAAATATGCGTGCTAGCTATATTGTGCAAGAACCTAATTTTACTGATCTTGATATGTTATGTTAGATTGTATCATAATTTGTCATACTTTTTCTAAAACAGAAATGTTGCATAAGTCCGATTCATGATCCAATACACTTACAATTTACAAACATAATAACATGTCATGTCGTACTTTTTAGTGTAGGGCATGGCGACGTATCATGGGCCCACTCCGTAGGCAAAGAAAGAGGTTAGTTGAAAGCAAATATTTCTTGTTCTTGTCCAACTTTTAATGCTTTGCAAGAACTAAGCAAGAGTTCTACCTTACTTCGGCACAATTCAATACCATCCATATTTGTGAATAGAGCAATAGATAATAATGTGCTCTCACAATGAAGTGGTACAATTAAGGAGTATCAGAATCAGCTTTTGTGAGTAAGCTTAAACAACATACGGAGTAAAATTGATTGTCACAAAGCGTTAGAAGCTCGGAGTGGGACAAGCTAGCTAGCTATCTAGACAAAGCTTATAATTAAATACACTATTAGTAACTTAATTAAGTAGACTATTAGATTAGAAAGTATGTAAACTTTACTAATCAAATGTTATTATACTAATCTAGGTTTAATGTAGTATAATCCATAAAGGGTAGCAACGTGCATGTAATGTAGAGGCGCACGAGCGCATGCAATTTAAACAACTGTAAAGCAAATTAGTAATAATAATTTTATTCCTAATTACATTTAATTTTTTTTTCGACATATCCAACCTAGAGCTTAAGTCAAAAGCTTCTTCATTATGATTTTTTTTTAGGATTAATTAGAAACTCTGATCTAAATTAAAAGTAGCATACTAACTTTTTTGTCACATATAATTTTTCTCTTTTTTTCACGTTTTGTTTTTGCCTTTTTTCTGCTGGATTTAGTTGCCTCACTTTATCCGAAATTCTGGATTATTGATATACATTTCCAGCTGTCATTGTCTTTGAGTACTGTATAAATTGAGTTCTTTCTTTTTAACCTTTTTAGTGAACTGAACAAAGAAAAGGGATTACTGTAATTCATTACCACTTTAAATACAGTACTTCTGTATTATCATAGAGATTTAATTTATTTTGCATAATACTCCATTTGTTTCTATTTTGCGAGGATATAAGCATAATTTAAGATAAAGTTGTATTAAGAATATTATCATTGCCATTAGATAAACTCTTTCTTACAAAATTACAAATAATGAGTATGAGGGATAGCTCAAGTGGTAATTAGAGTTATTCTTCCGATTCATGATCCTAGAATCAATTCTCATCACTTGCCCTTGTGGCTCTTTTAACACCAAAAAAAAAATTACAAATAAACTTATCATTATCACAACTATAGAGTTTTCTTATTGTGTGTTAAATAGTTGTGCATGTTTATATTATTAGCACCATAGTATGTATGCCTATTGGTTTGCTAATGTATAGGATGGCAAAGTTGTTATTAAGTGGAAGTTTGTCACATGAAAGTGGGCCAAAGTGGAAGGAATTTTGGTGGAAAATATAATGGTAAAAAGTACTCCGTACCACTGTACATTATACATGCATAATAGTACACATAAATGTATCACTGTAGTATAATAGTACACATGAATGTACCACTGTAACATAATGGTACACATGAATGTACCACTGTAGAAAAAAATCAAACGAAAAAAAAAATTGAAAACCCCAAAACGCCCTCCTATATACATGTTAAATCAATAGGTGCTATGCGCCTATATGCACCCCAACATGCATACCCTCTCTATAAGAGACGATTAAAACTACGCGCTAGAGATTGATAAGTTTACATGTTTTTGATGCTCTACACCCAACAAACCCCTATATACTCATTTTGTCTCTTAAAGATTGTCATTTATCCGTCTATTAGGTTGAGATGTAATGTTGAGTTTTCCTTTATTTGGATATTTTTTTCACTTGTTCACTTACTTTATCTTTTTCAAGTGCACAACTTTACCAACTTATGTGCATACAATTTTATCCAAGCCTTAAAGTTAACAAAACTCGAAAAAAAATAAATAAAAAAAAAAACCCCAATAAATAATTAACAAAACTCTAAAAAAGCCCAATAAATAACCGTATTATTAAAGTTACGTACCATCACATATCTCTAAAGTATACGAGTACAATTAGTATACATTACGGAGTATCATTTATAGCCAGGCCATATCCAACCCCACCATAAACATACAATTGAACAATTATTTGATTTTGTTGATTGCATTGAATAACTATTTAGTCCCTTTTCTTCCCACAACTATGACAAAACTTAATTTTGTGTTGCTTTACTTTCAGTCTTACAGTCACAGCTTAATAGTAGTACGGAGTAATAATAAAGACAATGTGGTAATAATACTTCAATTCGTACTCGTATCATTTTGCTCCATCTTATATATTCACCTGAGCACTTTGCCTGCCACATGTGCAGTGAATCTCTAAAAAAATGATAATTAAATAAATAGATCCAATAATTAACATTTACTTTTTACTGTACTTTTTAAGTAACATCAATTGAAGATGCAGATCCACCATAAATAAGAAGTCACAAATTAAATAATTTAGGCTCTAAGACATTGAATGGTATCCAAGAATAGAAGTTGGATTATTATACGAATATTAAACTATGAATTAAGTGAGGTAATCAATGTTTACAAGCTGGAATTGCGGTACATAATCTACCAAACCTCACAAAATGGTCATCTATCTTAGTTTATTTTTGGTCCCATCATTTTTTGTCACTTAGCTTGATTTTCTATGTTATTATGTATTAATGTTACAAAGATAACAAGGGAATAACGGCATTCCTTGTATTCTATTGATAATTTATGTCTAATTGTCTCCATGCATAAAGAGAGTGACCTCAATTATCCTACATTGTTAGGTTTTCCACCACCTATAATAATAATTTGTTACGTTTAGGGTAAAAGCTTAAAGTATGTAATCTCATTAGCTAACGTAAAAATGCAAATATGACCGAGGTTGTTTTAAAGAAACTCTTTTATTAGAAAGTGAAAGCCTTTTGTCTGATATTGAAAATTTGAAAGGGTCAATTAAGAATATTTCACTGTAATTTACATTATTTAATGTGTGAACAACTCTTACTATGTGTTGGGCTAGAAATGGGCAGCTTCATGCACACATTACAGCTAGCAAAAGCATGACACTAATGTGGTGTGGTGTGTAATATTTTTTGGTTGACGCACGCTAAGGTTAAGAAATTTTCATATTGTTGCAAATCCAATCATCACGGTTTTTATTCTTCCATATTCTCTAAAATGGATTGTGCATGATTGTCTCCAACTTCTCTAATTACGTTATGCTTATAAATTTACCAGATTTGAGGCTTTGATGACTAACACACGAAAAACTTACTTTTTTTTTCCTCTCTAAAAACTACTCATATTGATCTAATCTTAGCATGTGTGAGCTCCATCCTCTTCTTATTCAAATGCATGTTTTATAGAGTGTTGAATTTTAAGCATGAAAAAAATAATAACATAAGTAACTAAGCTAAAGCCCAAATTTAAAACTATAATTAAAGGAATTACTTTCGAACCTTTTAAATTTGTTTGGACAGTAGTAATAAAATATATCAGTATTACAGACAATAAGAAAAGGTAATCAAACTAGTTCGACAATTAATCGCGATCTCATGTACCCTTTGTACTTGATAACGGTCCACTTTTAGGGCAATTCTAAAACCTAATGCACCAAAGGTATACCAATTTCAATAATGTCTAACAAATACTCATAACTAGTCCATATTAATTGGCAGCACAATGTCATATTTTTTATTTTAGACGATACCTTGCCGTATAATTGAGGCAAGTGCATGTGTTTTCCAATGAAGCACACGGTGTACCTCTTTTGATATCCATAAAATCAAGATCCTAATCTCTAAATAAGGATGCCATACTTCTAGATCAATTCAAAGACAACAGAATTTTTAAATCTATAATAAGCCAAAGAACAAGCCATCTACTCTTCCTAATTCGTAGTTTCTCATCTCTACTAGTCCACATTCTCACTAATAATGGTATTGCTAGCTGGACTTGGGACTTGGAAGTATATAGGCAACTACATTATTATTTTGCACCAAAAACAAAAATCAAAATTATTGGTTTTAGCCTTTATATGTGAGTAATAAAATAATTATGTTTGTTAAATTGTTTTTCGTTTGGTTTAGAATTTAAGTCATTAGTAATTTATGAATTTGTTTTGTTGAGTTTGTTGATTTGTTAATTTGTTTGAAAAACTAGCCTTTTGATTTAAATAATTGAATCAATGACTAATTTCAACCACAATATTAATTGCTCTTTTGGCTTAATCAACCAGACAATTACTAGTCAACCTTGGCTAATGAAGAATTTGGAGAATTCATATCTAGCCCAACTCCTTTCAGCCCAAATCCATTTAAGTTTTGCTTGACTGGTTACTGGCTTACAGCCCCAACTCGATTTAAAATGCAAACGAGTTGAGTTAATTATACACAAGGCCAACTCTTAGACTAGGTTCAAAATAAATGAATTATGTTGTGATATTTTTGTTTTTGAAAGCACTTGTAGATAATAATATTAATAGAGATCAATTTCCGCCGAACTTAAGAGACTTTGGGGAAAAGGACCTAGGCAAACACGTTCAATACAACCACTAGAGTCCCACCTAGCCACATTGTAGGCTAGAGTATTACCCGCACGCTTTACATGTGAAATCGAGAAAGCAACAAAACAATGAGAAAGAGCACAAATATCATCAACAAGTACAGAGAAAGGAGTAAGATTGCCAGCCATCTTCTTAACCCCATTCACAACCTTTGCGGCATCACTCTCCAAAATGACCGAGGTATAACCCAATCTAGCAGCCAGTTGAAGCCCGTACCTGCATGCCGCAGCTTCAGCAACTTCAGGGGCCCAGCCAGCGTACTCTTTACACATAGCAGCTACCAAAATCATCCCTTCTTCGTCTCTAATCACCACCCCCAACCCTGTCGTAACACCTAAGTGAGCATCACAATTTATTTTTACCATCCCTGAACAAGGCCTAGCCCAAGAGGTAGCTAACGGCTGACACGGTACACTCTGCCCCATGATCACCCTCTTCGCATACTCACCATGCATACTCAATGACAGATTTTACAAGGTTAGACGCAACACTGACCGGGCAAACACTTGCATTGTCAAATATGATCAAGTTGCGGCACCACCAAGCAGCCCAGGCAAGAGTAACAATTTCTCTCAACTCCTCACTGTTACCATTCGAAGCCATCCACAACAGTCTATCAGTGAAGCACGAGGCAGGAGCTTGAGAAATCAGAGAGGGAAACTTACTAGCGTTCCAAATGCTGCTAGCTGCACTACACTCAAAAGTGGCATGGATCATTGATTCATCCCCATTCCCACAAATCGAGCAAGACTTGATATCAACCATATGACGATAATGTAGCCTTTCTCGAACCGCAAGGAAGCCTTTACATGCCCTCACTACTAGAAAAACATTTATTTGCGGCAGTTAAATGCTGCGTTTTTAAGGTGGTAGCAAATGCCAGGGCAGCAAATCAATCTGATTGATTTGCTGCGTTGTCAACTGCTGAAAATCAATGTATTTATTTGCAGCGGTAATCTATTTTTACCCCTGCAAATAAATATATTCCACCAATAAAATAATGAATGATTTGCTGTGCTTTATGTGTAACACCCGCCGGCTAATTAATATTTTATTTTTTTTTGTAAATAATATTATTTGGTAATAAATAATGAATGAAACAAAATTTCGGCAGCACCTCCATTGTTTTTACGTGTAATATACTCATGAAGGACCTGTATTCCTGAGCTTTATGAACAAAATACTTTAATTAGCCCAAATTAGATTATCACAATATGTATGATAAAATGTGCCATTCAATTTTGTACGTACATATATCAATCCAAAATATAAGACAAAATATTATTAAACAACTATGATTACACGCAATAATTAGTGAAATATGAGGCCCATATGTTCCACACTTCTTCAATATCACCATCGGTGTAAGGACCTTCATTTAAAGACGTGAAAACCTATGAACATGATACAATATAACAATATATAGTAAGTCATCAAAGTAATTTAAATAATAATAATAATAATAATAATAATAATAATAATAATAATAATAATAATAATAATAATAATAATACTTCACTTATATACTTCACTTATAAAAAAAAATGGCATTTGGACAAAAATTGACTCACATAGGTTCAAAAGTGGTCAAAAGACTATGTGTTGCTTCTAGCTTTTATTTTACACCGTTAATTGGTGTGAATAAGATTGTATATAGATGAAAGAGTCATTTTCAAGACATTAGGACTTAAAAGAACCTTATGTGACAAATTGTGAACCATTTGGGTAGTGTTATGCTTAAATGGGTTCAAAAGGGGCCAAAATGGACAACAATTGACTCAAATAGGTTTAAAGTGGTAAAAAGACCAAGTTTTGGTTCCAACTTTAATTTAATACCTTTAATTGGTGTAAATAAGGATATATATGAATGAAAGAGTCATTTTCAAGATATTAGGACTAAAAAGAACCTTATTTGACAAAACTAGAACCATTTGGACAATATTTGACTCAAATAAGTTCACAAGCGGCAAAATGACCGTGTTTTGGTTCAAGTGTAGTTTTATACCTTTAATTGGTGTGAATAAGGTTATATATGAATAAAAGATTTATTTTGAAGACATTAGTAATGATAAGAATGAAAGGTCATACTCATACCTCATCAATATCATTTGCTTCACCGTATTTTATGTCATTCATGTATCTCATTATGTAAAAGCCACACTCGGTACCACCTCTTTGTTGAGCACACTAAGTAAAATTCAAGAAAAAAAAAAACAGATTAAGGTGTATAATTGTTGTAAAGGTACTAAAATAAATTCCATACGATATCATCTAAAACATATTATTTACTTACCTTCACGAGTTTCCATAGAGGTTCTTTTCTATTCACACGGTTTCCATTTAGCTTATACCTCGTGAAAAAACTATTCATTTTCATTACAAAGGTAGAATTATAAGTATATTACTCGTTGCAAATGTCTTACATATAATGTATGTATAGAAACAAGAAACAATAAAATAGACTTACAAGCTCACAATAGTCTTCATTTTAACGTTTCTCCTTGTTGTTGGGCGAGCTGAGTCAAATTGATAAATAGTGCAAGTAGGTATACACAAATTACCAAAAGCATCCAATGTTCCCAACGCCAAAAGGTAAGAATGTTAAATTCATCACATGTATGTATACTTACGTGGTACATAATATGGAACTTTGTTACTACTTACTCTTGAAAAATTGGTGCCATAATCACTACAAGAAAACAGGCAAATTCCGACGGACTGGTTCCGACGGACACAAATTCCGTCGGAAAAAGCGAAATTTCCGACGGATTTATGTGTCGTCGGAATTTTCCGATGAATTCTAGAAGTCCGTCGGAAAATTCCGACGGAAATTTACTCCGTCGGAATATATGTGCTTTCCGACGGAATTTTCCGTCGGAATTTACAATTTCCGACAATATTTTTCGTCGGAAAATTCCGACGAAATATTCCGTCGGAATTTAATTTAAAAAAATCTTTTAAAACCCTAATATGAGGAACTCCTTTTGTTCCCACTCTCCGCCTCTTCATTTCTCTTTCTCTCTCCTCTATCCCCTTTCCCTCACCGCCTCTTCCCTTCTCTTTCTCTCTCCTTTTTCCCCCTTTCCCCTTTCTCTTTCCCCTTTCTCGATCTTTCCCTCACCGCCCTCTCAACAACATCAACAACCACAACCGTCGTGTCAGCTCTGTCCACCAGCCGCCGCTCAACAGTTCCTTCAACCACCGGTCGTTGCGCCGTCCACCGTCAAGCACTGTAGAAGGCCGAAAATATGGGTTAAATATTGATTAGTTTGTGGATCTAGGTTTATTTTTTACAAATTTATGATTATAATTATCTTTTTGATGAAATTGTAATGTAAGTTTATGAATTTTGTAATGTAAGTTTGTAATTTTTCGGATTTTTGGACTATGTAATGTATAAATTGTTTTTTTCGATTTTGTGGTTTTTGTTTCGATTTTGTGGTTTCGATTTCGATTTTTTGGTTTTTGTGGTTTCGATTTCGATTTTTTGGTTTTTGTGGTTTTTGTTTCGATTTTGTGGTTTCGATTTTGATTTTTTGGTTGTTGTTTCGATTTCGGTTGGTAGATCTGGGTTGTGGGGTGGCGAGGTGGAGATACGGGTTAGGTGGCAAGGTGAATCTGGGCTAGGTGGCTGATTTGGGTTAGTTTTGGTTAGGTTTCGGTGGTTGTGGTTGGTGGATCCGGGCTAGGTGGCTGGTTTAGCTAATTTGGGTTAGTTTTCGGTGGTGGTGCTGGTGTTCTCAGGTGGTGAAATGCCGTGCCGGTGGTGGCACAACATTTTTTTTTTTAATTTCTAAAAATCAGCTTCCGACGGAAATTTTCGTCGGAATTTTCCGGCGGATTTGAATTCCGTCGAAAATTTCCAACAGATTTTCCGGTACCGGAAAACCTCTTCCGACAAAAAATTTCCATCGGAAAAGGTCGTTTTTCCTACGAAAGGTTTTCCGACAACACGTTCCGACATAATTCAGGGTGATTCCGACGAAATTTTTCCGTCGGAAACGGCCTGTTTTCTAGTAGTGCAAATGGGTAAGCCCATCTCATAAAAACCAAACCACAAAGCTTAATCTCTCGAACAAGATGAATGACCAAATGAACCATTATGTCAAAGAAGGAAGGCGGGAAATACATTTCAAATTGACACAATGTTACGATGACTTCTGATTGCAAACTATCTAACTTTTCCGGATCAAGCACCTTATTGCATATAGTATTGAAAAATGAACAAAGTCTCGTGATGGCATATTCATGTGGAATCTTATAAAATTTGTCTCAAATATCTCATTAGAGTCATTACATATTTCCTATAAATCAACTTTAAAGCTTTACAAGTATATAATTAGGGATATCAATAATTAATTTGGTGGAATAGTGATAGCATTCCCCACCTTGAGGTGTAAGGATCATAAGATTCATAACTCATGGAAACTCGTTTAGGGATTTTCTTAAACCCCCTCTCAAGTAAGTCCCTTTTTTCTTATCTAAAATATCATCAACCCTTTAAAAGAGAGAATATGTGTTATTGTTACCGTGAATATTGATTTGGCGCCATTATCCTTCCTTTTCATTATATTTGCGAATCTGCCATTCCTTTCACTATTTGCTTTTTTTTTTTTTTTTTTTTTTTACTTTGTCCTTTTATCCTTTTCTTTCCTCCTCCTTTCCCAAATTCCCTCATAAGTCACATGCCTCACAACTAGGGGTGGTTATTGGGCGGGTCAGTGTGGGTCATTAGCGGGGCGGGTCAGTTGCGGGTCATGATGAATATTTAGTGGGTCAGGGTTGGGTCGGGGTCAATGTGGTTAGGGTCGGGTCAGGGTCGAGGTAAAAGTAAAACAGGCCATTAACGGACCTTTACCCACATACTTCCATTTAGCTGCTCATGTAAACTGGACACAAAAATGGCAATGCATCCAAGAATACAGCCTAAAGTTAACTTACATTTCAATAGAATTTCATAGTAATTTTTTTTTTTTTTTGGCTAGATAATTTTTTTTTTTTTTTTTTTTGGCAAGATAATTTCCTGTAACAAAAGTGGCAATGCATCCAATAGAATTGAAGTAAGCTTCAGGACACCTTTCCACCACATTATTTTCCCTAAAGAAAGGTAACCAATGGCGGCCAAACTTAGCAACTTCCATGAAAGCAAACAGAGTAACTTATATTTCAGATTACATTTTGAAATCCACAAAGTTCAGATCACATTTTCAGAATCAAAAACCAATGCATTGTAAGTAAATAAACATTCTGAATCCACAAAGTCTACATACTCCATTTAAAAAAAAAAAAATTTAAAAAAAAAATCCATTTCAGTCTTCAAAGATCAGATTCACAAATGAAGTTTTGTCCAGCCCAAAATCTGCCATGATACTTCAGCCTCTGAGCTTCTTTGATCAGGGTATGACTAATTCTCCTGTCAAATAGG